GACACGTTTGCTAACTAATACGTACGTTTAGCTTGAGTTGGTAATATTTTGTAAGTTTCATAATTTATCTTAATTTTAATTGAATTACAAACTTACATTGATGCAGGTAAACTTATCTAGCACATTATTTATTGAATACTAAATTGAAGATTATATGTTTAATGGACAATAATTGATACACATTTTGGTTCAACACATTACGTGACACACTCATTAAAAAATTCTTATTTTTTAGTGAGAGAACATGTTAAATGGAAAAAGAATCCTACATCCTACATGTTAAATGGAAAAAGAATCCTACATCCTACAAATCCCTCACATGGAAACTCAAAGGCTCCACAAAGAGCATAATTATGGGCAAAACAAAATTTTGCTTGCGGTGCAAGTCTAGCTAGCTGTGAGAATTGAAAACTTGAGGATGTAATTGAAACATGTTTTATCAATCATGAGGACTGAGGAGGTTGAAATTGGACGACACGTTTGCTAACTAATACATACGTTTAGCTTGAGTTGGTAATATTTTGTAAGTTTCATAATTTATCGGTTAAATACCCTTTTTGGTCCCTCTACTATAGGAAAAAGTCCATTTTTGGTCCCTGTACCGAAAAAATCCCTTTTTTGGTCCTTACTGTTCACAAATCCGGCCCCTTTTTGGTCCTTCTGTTAATTTTTGCTCATGTAGCACGTTAACTTAACGGAAACAGCTGATGTGGATATAATAATACCCTCCACGTCACCCTCCACGTGCAGGAAAAAGAAAAAGAAAAGGTTAAATGCTAAATTTGATCCCTCAACTTTATAAGTTTGCATTTTTTTGATCCTTAGATTATTTTTTTCACTTTTTTGATTTTTTAACTCTAAAAATTACACAATTTTGATTCTTTCATCAGTTAAACATGACGTGGCAATTAAATAATTCTATTTGACATTTTCTTTTAATTTTTTTGATGATATGACAATTATATATATTATGATTATGTTATATAGATAAATAAAAATATCACGTAGATAAACATTTATATTTTAATTAAAAAATAAAATGACAGTATGACCCTCACCTCCCAATCCCTGTTCTTCCCCTTCTTTCTTTCTCTTCCTTTCTTTCCTACCCAGATCGACTGGGTTCCGCTGTTGTTGCCGCTGATTACCTTCCTTTTCCGTAACTCTTTTGCAAAACACGAACATGAAATCAGCTCCGATCGATCCAATACCGTTCGTCTCAATCATTTCATCAGATCCAATGTTTCTCGCTTGCTGAAATCCAATCTTCTTGCTGGTCTTGGTCGCACGAACCCAGTCTTGTTGGTCTTGGTTGCGCGAATTTGGCCCTGCTGGTCGTGCGAACCTAGTCCTGCTGGTTGCGCGAACCCAGCCTTGTTGGGTTCGTCGAAACCGCGCTGCTGGGTTTGCGTGACCAGTAAGGCTAGGTTTGACCAACCCAGGCTCGACGAAACTAGCAAGGTTGGGTTTCAACCAACCCAACCATGCTGGTCACGCGAACCCAACCTTGCTGGGTTTCGGCGCTGAGTTCATGTTTTTTCATTTTTCTTTCTATTTTCATTTTCGGTTCTTGATAAATTTGAAAGTTGATTTACAATTTGATTGCATTTTTCTTGGAATTGGATTAGAGTTTGAATGATATTGTTTATGAAGGGTTAATTTGATTTGATGAGATCTACTG